AAGGAAATTACAATTTTCTCTCTAGATTTGCTAAGGGAATCTTGATCAAGTTCTTGAGTTTTACTGCTGTTTATGAGGCTGCTCGCTTGAAGGGAAAGGTGTTCTAAGCCATTTCTTTGCCGTTGTCATTGGAAGCAAGAAAGAAGACGACGATCCTGTGAGGAGGTCCAGCATCAAAGGGAAGAAAGCCTAAAGGTCGTCAACTACAATCGTTCTTTATGCAATGGAAGCAAGAACAATGCTCCTTCTCCCTTTCCCCGTAGAGGAACTATGCGTAATGACCATTTTTTTTCTATCAAGTTAGATGGTTATTTTATTTTTTTACCAGAAATCGTATTTAGCTGCACTCTTTTTTTTTTTGTGTTATTTCCCTCTCATAGATTTAATGAAAATATGAAGTCTTGGGAGTTAAATAAGTTTTGCATATAAATCCTCGAATCCAGCCATATATTATACTATATATATATATATATATATATATATATATATATATATAATATATATATTCTTTATCTCTGTTTATTATATTTCCAAGTCCTTGTTGCAAGAGATGTGAATTGGGCTCATACTTGCTCGTTGTTCATTCTTGTTCTTGAATCGTTGTAAACACAACATAGAGCTGTAACAACTCTTTCTCTGCTTCATCTTTAATATTTATTAATCAAATCCTGTATATTTTACTCATGCAGCTTGTCTTTGTTTTGAACTGTTTCATTAACTGCAACTTTCCTGTTAAAGATATATTAATAATATATATTTTTACCTTCTATTTTCATTGAGATATGTGTTTTTCTTATCATTAAAATCCAATGAATTTAATACACCTGGACATACATTTCAATATATGATATAAGAATGTGGTGGGGGTAATCGTTTTCAGGATTTTATGTTTGGCAATTTTTGTAATGAAATTTTTTTATTTAGTTTTGCCCATCTTTAATAAGCTTTTTGAGTTTTATTTGTTTATTTATTTTTCTTTTTAGGCTTGTAGGTTTTTTTTTCTTTTTGATATAATCACTAATTTTTTTTTTTTTAATTTTAATTGACTCTTCTTTCTCTTATATTAATGGACAATAGGCAAACCATCAAGCTTTTTCTTAACATGATTATCATACAACGTTACTGTTCTCACCTCATGTTTATATCAATAATTAGAGTTTTTTTTTTAATGACAACTTCGCTAATATTTGAAATTGGGATTCTCTCTTAAATTCTTTTACCATTTGGCCTTTGCCATTATTCTTATCTAAGTAAAGATGCCATAACTTCTATCACTCATCAAGCTCAATAAACTTTTACTATATGATATCATTCAGGGATTGTATACACTTTCTAGTTCATATTTGAAACAACATGTTAGCTCATAGTAGTGCATACTGATGGCATATTAATTGATTTAAATATTCTATTTCATTGGATAAGTCTATAATGGCTAGACAGCAAACCAATAAATTTGTCTCTTAATATTATTTGCTTGTTACTTATTCATTAAAATGTTGCGCACATGTTCAGTCTCTTATTAATATATATATATATATATATATATCATAATATATATTATATTATATATTATATAATATATATATCATATATATATATTATATTATAGTATATATATCATTATATATCATATATATATATGTTAAATTTAAATATATGAATTACTTATGATATTCTGACCCCGCTTTCTCTTCGCGCCTTATTTGCGACGGTACGTAATGGAGCTAATTGGAGGAATAGAGCCAAGGGGCTCAATCACCCCGGTTTTCTAAACGGCCTCTGCGTGCTACGGCTCGGAGTGCACCATCTGACTATGCTCCGGTGACCAGGTAAGTTTTCGTTTAAGACTTTAGAAAAGCATAGATCTTCTAGATTTACTTGTTGAGTTATATTTCAAGCAGCATTAAATTCTTGCTATAATCTGCTTTAAGTTAAATCTGCTTTCTTCTTTTTTTACAAATTTAAAATTCTTCGAAGCCATAAGCTTTGTTTACATTCTTAGGCATGTCCAAAGGGTTAGTGACATTGATTCAAACCGTATTAAGACCTAGTACATCTTTAAGGTACAATAATTAAAGGAACACTTCTAGCAGAACTGTAGAAAATTCTAGAGATTTAGGAGATATCTCCTATTAATCTAAGACTTGAACAACTGAAGAACTAGTGACACCTTAAACCTTAAAAATTATCTTTTCTTTTTTAAATCTATTAAACCAATTAATTGATTGTAATTTAAAATTAAATTCCTTAATAGCGAAACAAATTTTTAAACCCAAGGTGACATCAATTCAAACCCTTTAGTTTAGTGATTTTCTCTACTCTAGGAAATTATTCACAAATTTGAAACCCCTTTAAACTCATTCAAAACCCTTAAGTTTTAAACCTTTAGCATTAAACCTTTAAAACCTTTCCAAAATCTTAATAAATCAATTTAAGTCCAAAAACTATAAATAACTCCTCTATTAATCAGATTTGATCCTTAACACATTAAAATTAAAATCAATTCAGAGATTTTGACTTCCAAGTTTTAAGAATAATTAATTTAATCTCAGGAATCTGATATTTAATTAATTATTAACTAATGTAAAATAAATTTAAATTTCAGAGGAATTCCTATACAACTTGGGAATCTATCCTTGGGGTCAGTCCTGCACCTTTTGAATTGATTACAAGTGAGTTTGGAACTCAATGAATTCCAAAATATCGAATAACCCCTCTATTTAGACAATTTCGATTAATATTCAACTACAATGATTCAAAACTTTGAAAATATTTCATGCAATTATTTCAAACAAACTCCAAATCAATCAAACTAAAAAGGCATTCAAACTCGTCTTCTATGGCTAATTTTTAATAAAATTACTTTTTTTTTAGGAAAACCTTTTAATCTTAAACATTCAAATTTTAACCCCTTGATTAAAATCTATTAAATGAATTTCGAATAATTTTAGACATTAAATATTTGATTCAAATCCAAAAAATTTTCAAATCTAACTTTAAAACCATCATCATCTTAAATCAATTTTGAATCATTAAGATTTTAAAACTTGTAACCAAAGTCTTCCCTTGAGCCTTTTCAACCAATCAGAACATTTAAAACAACTTAACCATATTACCCGATTTAGGATAACCATAATACCACACAGCCTGACTACACACACCTAGATTGACCCATTAGGACACGGACTCTAGCTTTATGTTAGGCCGGTGTTTCTTTCTTTTCTTTTAGATAGATGAATATGCATTACAAAAATGGGGAGTGGCAATCCTAGGTTAAGATAACATAGACATAGGTTCACTATCCACAGATACTGTGCCCCTGAATGAGGGTTATACCATGGTGTAACAAGGATCCTTGGTCGGCACGTGTCGATCTAAATTAGGCTAAGGATACCGACGAACCGGGTACGATGGGAAAACCTATGGGATCTTGACCGGGACGTCATACCACTTGGTGGTTGGTCTTCCACCCTCAACTTTTCTGGGCAAATTTTCCGATTCATGTGATCAGGAAATATAAAGTCCTCCAACTTTCTATTAAATTTCAACTTGAACATAAAGATTCCTCCTCCAATCTAAAATTTAAAGCCCAACAACTTCAGCTTAGGTTGGCTGTGCACTTCTGATATTTACAGAATTCTCTGAAATGCCTCCTTACCTCTCTTCGTTGGATCTCCGGAATATAAAGTGTTCAAAATTCGATCCAATCACCGATTTGAAATTCCAAATTTCATCTCCTTGATATCATTCCTATTGAAAATCTTTTAAAATAAAATTTCTGCCTTATTAATTCGCGAGAGTTTCGTAGGAGACATCATTTTCTTTACGACTGTAATTAATACGAGGGCTTGCGCTCCGTAGGAGATGTTAGAACCACACACGCACCTGATTTTCAAAAATTGATTTTCAAAAACTCAATTAGATTTCTTTTTGGAATAACTAAAATATTAGTGATCATTGTTTAATCATATTCATAAGAAATTATCATCGAATGATATTTCCCCCCTTCGGGCTGAGATACATCTTTCTTTGATAAAGGCTTTGGATTGTCAATCATTAGGTCACCAAAATAAAACCCAGGTGAATCCTTGTGACCTCATACAAAAATGAGGTCAACACACTTCTGGAGTAAGCACCGGATTAGGGACCTGGGTGCTCAGCGGGCTGCTCTTGAGCATCGCATCGCGGAACTGCAACATCTTGACTGCTCGGTGGCTGGGTTGAATCCCGAGCAAGAGGAGGAACTCCGATTAATAGTTGGGGAGTTTAATGCTGTTCTTAGTCGTATGGCAACTTGGTGGGGCCAGCGAGCTAAGGTTCGCTGGATTGAGGATGGCGATGCTAATTCTCATTTTTTCCATGCGGTGGCCACGGCTCGGCGTAGGTGTAATCGAATTGTGGAGCTGAGAAAGGAGGATGGCACAGTCTTGGCGAAACCAAATCTTATTCAAGAGGAGTTCTGGACGTTCTTCTCGGACAAGTGGAGGGAGAGAGCTACTCATATGATTCGCTGGCCTAATTTCTGCTCGGAGGCCATGCTCCGTCCGGATGAGGTGAGCTCGCTGGAAGCTGATGTTTCGGATGCGGAGATCCACAAGGCAGTTTTTAGTATGGGGAATAATCGCGCTCCTGGGATGGATGGTATTACTTCCTCCTTTCTTAAATTTTATTGGCTAATCATTAGAGAGGATGTGTGTAGTGCTGTCAGAAGCTTCTTTGCTGAGGGATACATGTGCCCGACTTGGAAGGACATGATGGTGATCCTGATTCCTAAGACGGAGAATGCCGCCGCTCCAAATCAGTTCCGCCCTATTAGCCTCTGTTAGTCGTTATACAAGGTGGTAGCTAAAATTCTGGTTTATCGTCTCAAGTCGGTCCTTGGTGGTCTGATTGGGGTGGAGCAAGGTGCCTTTGTGCCGGGTAGATCAATTGCAAATCATGGGCTCCTTGCCCAAGAGATGATGTGCACGTTCCAGCACTCTACCATGCAAGCGGGTTTGATGGCGCTTAAGGTGGACATGGAACAAGACTACGATTGCATGTCATGGGATACGCTGCACCGTGTTATGGACGCCATGGGTTTCTTGGCCAGGTTTAGCCGCTGGGTGTTGGCGTGTGTTTGCGAACCTCGGTTTGCTTTCCTCCTGAATGGCAACCGCTCGCATTGGATCAATGCCCATTCTGGGCTTAGGCAGGGATGTCTGCTGTCGCCTTATCTTTTTATCCTCTGCTCAGAGCTGCTTACTAAGGCGTTCAATCAGTCTGGGGCTGGCCTAGGAGTGCAAATTGTGATCAATGGGAAACGGGTGTCTCATCTGTTGTATGTCGACGACATCCTTGTCTTTGCAGAAGCTAGCCTTGCCAATGCAAAGTGTATCTATGGCATCTTGGCGGACTATTGTGGTTGGACGGGGAAGAAAATCAACATCAATAAGTCGGCTATCATCTTCAACAAACGATGCCCCAGGTGGAAAGGTAGAAGGATTGCTAGACTCTTGGGCTATAAAATGGTATCCTCTCTGGACTATCTTGGCATTCCGTTGCTTACTCGGAGATTGCTTAAGGCGGATTATGCCAAAACAGTGACTAAGGCGGTGGCGAAGATCAATGTGTGGGGGAAGCGGCATCTCTCCCTTGCGGGCCGTGCTACCATCATTCGGACTTCTTTGCTTTCTGTTCCGATGTACTGTATGACGTTGACGGGGATCCCAAGGGGAAGTCTGGAGTTTATTGAGAAGATTGGGAGACAATTTTTATGGCGGAAGAATTCGAATAGCCGTGGACTCCATTATGTGGCTTGGAGTGAGCTATGCAAGCCGACGGAGATGGGAGGTCTGGGCTTTCACTCGTCTGTGGATTGGATTGGCCCCCTCCGGGCTAGGCTTGCTCTAAATTTTATCCAACAGCCCGACACCCTGCTGCATCACATTTTGCGGGAGAAATATGGTGACAATCCGTGGGTGGAATGGCCTGGACGCAATGTGTCGATCTCATGGCAAATTATGAATGATGGGGCCAATGCCTTGCGGACAATCATTCGGTGGAAGATTGGGGATGGTAAGACCGTGAATGTCCTTAGTGACATTTGGGTGCTGGATCGTCAGCTTGATGAATGGCCAGCTTATGGCGATCTGAGCAGGTTGGAGCATTGGCAGGTGAGCCAGCTCTTTACCGAGAATGGTGATTGGGATGCTGGCTTGGTGCGTAATTATTTTGGAGAAGTCATGGCCCCGTGTATTTTATCCATTCCTACCCATCAAACGGGGGTAGGGGAGATCAACCGGAACTCATAAATCTGAGAGGAGGACGGACAGTCACCTCCTTGGCCTATCGTGCTCGGCTGGGGGGGACGACTTACCCGTTCTTGTGGATTAAAAAATTCTTCGTGATGCCATCCCTACCAATGCTTGGCTTATGCGACGGAACTTAGAGAGCAGTAGCAGGTGCCCGTGGGGCTGCATTGAAGTTGAAGATCGGGACCACTGCACTGTTTCCTACAGTTTTTAAAGGCCATTTTTATGCAGCTGGGTCAGTGGGGCTTTCATATGCCGGCTGCTATCTCCTTTGATGCGATGATCCGGAACCTCGAAGAGATGGCCGGGCATAATCCGGGCCTTGGTAGAATTTTTTGCTCGGCTGTCTACCATGCCTGGCGGGCCCGTAATGACAAGAAGCATGGCCGCAATTGGGGATCCCCGACGATTGTTGCGGCTACGGTTCTGGGAGCATTTGCTAAACCTCATTTGATGCCTTTTGTGGAGCAGTGGCACATCAATCAGCCGCCTGGGTTGTCCGTTCCTCCAAAATGGTGTGTCCCCCCTCCAAATTGGCTCAAATTCAACTTTGATGCTTCATTGCTTTCGTCGAATCTTGCGGGGTTGAGCTTAGTGGTTCGTGACCACTGTGGTAACTTGATTGTGGCTACCGGTCAACAACTTGAACATTGGGATGCCGCTACTGCGAAACTTCTGGCGGTGAGCACTATTAAGAATGTCATTGACGATTGGATGCTTGACCGTGCGGGCATTATCATTGAGGGAGATTGTTCCAATATTATTGAGTGGCTTGAGCAGCTTCGCCACCATCAACACAACTTGCATCGCCGGAGGGAAGGGCCGGACTTCTCTTTTTTTACTCTTTTCCAGCAGGTTCTTTTTAATCGTGTGCCTAGATGTTGTAATAGGGCGGCCGACTTTTGTGCTAGAAGGGCGCTTGAGGGTAATTTTACTTGGAAAAATGTATGGGGTGATGATATTCCTTGCACTTTTGTCTCTTTGCTAAGGGAGGAAAGTGTGAGGAGCTAGTCTTTGTACCTTGTTATTTTCTTCTTAATGCAAATGCAACTTTCAAGGAACCCAAAAACTTT